TTTGTTTGTTATTAAGTTTCTACATATTTCGATAATTTCATTTAGTACCTTGGACGAACTTAAGTAGGTGCCATTATCTATGCCAGTGAGGAAAAATTTTGGGGGTAGGGGTACAGACCACATGTATGAGAATATATTTTTAAAAAATTTCTTATGTTAATATAATATAATGTAAAATATGATCACTCTGTAAGTAAGGTTATGTGTTATGAGTTATGACTTATGAGCATTTTTAAATATTAACGCTTTACATATCTATTCAATTCATAACTGGCATACAAATTTAAATTTCCTAAAAAACAAACAATATCTTATCTTTAAATTTTTATAATAGGTCAATTATGTATTTCTTATATTCAAGCTAGAAACATAGAAGTGAGTTTGCTTAATGTACATTTTTCAATTTTTGATATGTGTTAGTAAGACAGACAAGTAGACAACCCACATATGGGTACAACATAGGTACAACCCCTTAGGAAGAATACATTATTTAGTTTATATTAATTAAATTCTGAATTAAACTGCTTGTAAATGTAAATGTAAATAATAAGTTACATAACATTATTATTTTTACATTATACATTTAGATTATACTTGTGAATTCTTATTGTTAAATTAGTTATTCACATGATATTATTTTAATTTACAACAGTATTAACTCTATACATATAACTATAAAATATCAAATATCCAAGTGTTAACCTATGAGACTATTCAGACTTATTGTTTTTAAAGAGAACCAAACAATTTACACAATATCAAATAACAACAATAATATTTTAATGTAAAAATATAATATAATGACAGACACCTATTAATTAAACCATTGAATTTGTTTATTACTCCACCTAGTTGAATGTTTTGAAGTCATTTATTGTTAATTCGTTCCATAGACAAATTGAATGATTAAAAATGATTTTGGGTCATATATTTTATCATATATTCTAAAAAAAATGTATTTGTTTTCGGATTAATACAGATAACAATTAATTTAAAAAGGTTAGGTTGTTTTTTTTACAAATAAAATTATTTCTATTTCTACAAAATTGCTTAAGGTTTTATGATTCATTTAAAATAATATATATAAAACAAAATTATTTCTTCAATAAACCTCTTGTGACTACATTTGATGGCTTGTCATATTTTTCGGTACCTGGTAAGTTATAATCAATTGCTACAGACTTTGCTAGATCAGACAGTGCCTAAAAAAGACATTTTTAATTATTAAAATAGTAAAAATAAACTATAAGAAGTAGTCAAAAGAAATAATTGTATACAAAATAAGCTCTGCTTACTTTAAAAGAGTTAGGTTCCCAAATAGCTAAATCAGCTAAAACTTTCTTGTTCAAGTGTATGTCACATCTCGATAAACTATCCTTGAAATTATTTATTTCTACCCCATGTTCTTCACACCCAGCTTTAATGCGAGTGTTCCATAACTGAAATAGTAAATGTAAAATTAAATTTTAAACAATAAAAAATGTTTCTTTACAAAATATTAACCAAGAAATATTAGTTTTGATTAATTTTAAATATTATAGGTACCTTTTTGGCTTTTTCACAACTACATAAATTGATATAGATACCTACATTTTTGCTATGCAATTAACTAATTCCTCAAATAAATTGATAGTGAACTATCAAAAATTAGCATTTGATACACACAGGTCATTACATTTTTACAGAAAATAATTAAGTACTATTATAAATCTCATACTTAGAAAGTATCAATCAGTAAATGGTTATTTGACTATTGCAAAAATGTATTTTTAAATTATTTGAATCATGAAATATTATTAATACAAGAGCTTAATATCTTCCTGGACATAATATAATGTATAACTTACTAAAGTGAACTTATTTGTTGATACTTATTACTAATATTTTGTAAGTATGAAAAAATATAAATAAGAGTATATTATTATTATTATTATCAGTGGCAATGTTGAATGTGTCATAGGAGGCAATGAGGTAACATAATAATATGTATTAAACGCACTTAGAAATTAGAATACAGACAAATAATTTAAATAATACATTTAATAAAATCACACAATATCAAACATGTTTCTTGCTATTAAACTTAATGTTTATAGTTTTAACTTTTAAGTATATAAATATAATACCTAATTAACAATATTATAATATTATTGGGGAAAAAAAAAATAATAATATAAGTACAGTGAGAAGTGATGACATAAACAAGAATACATCGAGATTTTGTGAAATTGATAAAAAGTACAAAAAGTTTCATTATTTATTTATTTTTGTTATCATTATGCAACAACAAAGAAAATAATTAATTTTGTTAATAAATTTAGGTTAGAATTTTTAGACATCTACATAAAACTTTTTACTCTTAGATTATCAATATATTTAATATTATAAAAATGAATGTTTGTTTGTTTGTTTGTTTGTTCATCCTCTGTGAACTCAAAAACTACTGGGTCGTTTTCAATAACAGTTATGTCAATAGTCTCCTTGAGAGTCTTGAGACTGGAAGGTTTTATAGCTTTGTTTTTTAACCTATATAAAGCGGCTCAGAATTGCATTTTGTTTCTGCTTGCGGAAAAACAAATATTTCTTGTTTATATAATATAAGGTGCTTATTATATGATGCCATTTATAAAAATTATTAATAGAAATATGGCATGAGCATTTTTTTACAAACAAATCTTAAAATAAAATATAAACAAAATTTTTTATAGTAACACAATATTAATACAAATACCAATTTTAATGATAACATATTTTAAGTCGGATTTTAAGCATTAATTGAATCTGTCCTCAGTTTAGTGTTTACATAAAAAATATGTCTAAAATTAAAAAGCTGCAAATCGTAAAATTAATCATTGTAATTGTGTTTATATTTTATATTTAAACTGAAGCATAGCAGAAAATGATAGAATGATAAAATTATTTTAACCCAGGCGAGGTCAGGTAATACAGAAAGTTACAAAATAAAAATTATGATAAAAGGAAAATTATATTACTATTTTAACTTTTAGTATATTCCTATAAATACCAACTTCGACAGCTTGATATAGTCTATTTTATTCGAATTTATTTAATGTTAATAATACATAATACCAATGTAGAAATATTGCTTTATTATTATTAATATTCACTGATTGTATCTAAGAAGTAAGGAGTATTTTTGTAAAATTGTATTTCTAATTTAGTTTAATTAACTTATACACATATATTTGCCTAAAACTTTAAAAGTTCCATTTCATTAATTAAACAATCTAACATGTTTTTCACTTTAATTAATTTAAGTAAAACTATTAAATTCCAACTATATACAAGTAGAGTTGTAGTAGTTTTTCTAATTTATGATAAGAATGGTATTATAGTTAATTTGCAAATTAATTTAGTAAAATACGATCATAAATTAAGAAAATGACTTCGGCATCAATACTTATAACTACGGTTATTCATATTCAAGTCTGATTGTCAACATTTTTTTTTATTACTTTATTACTAAATAAAACTTGAAACTAAATATCTTTTTTTTTTTTTGTTTGTGAAATTTAAAACATTACAATTTAATGGAACATAATAATTATAATTCAATTTTTTAAGAATCAGAATATATTTTTTTAAATTAATTGGGCTGATTTTAAAGGTTATTTTGTAGACAAATATCAAAATAGTTTTATACTGTTATGTTTTAATTTTATTTATTCATAATAAATGAAAGTAATATACTGTATTCCAATAAAAGTTGCAACTTATGGTTGAATACAATTATTATATTTTATTATTTTACTTTTATAGTTAAAAGTTAAAACAAAAGCTAATTGACAAAATACTATATTATTATTTATTAGTTTAAGATGCTTTAAAATAGTAATTATATGTTTTATATACCTGGTTATTGTACAGTCAATATCATATAATGTAGTTTAATTTAAACTACCCACTTCCGTCTGACACACACTGTCTATAATTATTTTATGAAAAAGATTTAAACCTTCATAATTTTATTTATTTGGAGATTTGTTGAAAAAATATTTTTTTTTAAGGACATTTCTCGTTTAAATAAATAAAACACTAATAATTTGTATTTTTCTCTTTTTCATTAAACATTGGTATCATAAAGTAAATAATATATTAGCATTTATGAAAATGATTTTTTATTAATTTACATAATAATATGTTAATTGTGAAAACTTTTTTGCTTAAGATGATGTTGTATTTGCAAGTGTTGTATCTGTCTAAAACACCCGTAACATAGGAAATCTATGTATTGGATTCTTAATACAGTTTATTTATAGATAATACTAAATAAAATTTGTAGAAGACAATACAAAATAACCTCAATGAGTTTTTTTTTCATATTTTTATTTTGGTATGTGTTATAAATATTTGAGTAGGTATTAAAATGTTTTTTTTTCAAAATCAAAATATTACATGTTGGCACTGCTATAACAGCATGCATTCAGAGATTGGTGACTGGCTGGTTTTGAAAGCACACAATTACAGCACCGCTGTGTAGTGCCTACATGCAATATCTATGAATCATATTTTATGATCAGTTACATTTTTAGGAGGGGTCCCGATATGGATTAGACTTTAGAGCTCCCAAGTGTCTAGTTACACATTGAGTGTAGGATGCATTGTAAACAAAAAAAAATTAAAGTTGGCATTCGCTAGGTATAATATAATTATGAATTTTCCTGGTAAGAATTGTAAAAGTAAAAATAAACTTCTTTTAACTGAGTTAAGTTAATATTTTTCTCTATATTATCTTTAGGCATTTAGAACTAAGTATATTGTTTCTTAACTATTAACCAATAGCTTAGTGTTCCTAACGTTGACTTAACTATCTCAAATAAATTGTTTTCATTGTTGTATGATAGCTGTGTTATCAATTGTTCATACAACATACATATAGTCAGTGTTAAGCACAAGTCAATGTAAGCCATAAGCACGTGTTAAGTTACAATAAATAAGTTACAAATAATAAATAATACGTTTAGTGTATAACATAAAACATGGCGCAGTCGAATGGTCAAGTAGTTCCTGCTCCGTCGCCACTAGATATTAGTGAACCAAGTATGGTAATACGTAATTTAAGGTTATTTAAGTCAAAATTTCAACTTTATTTATTGGCCAATGACTTAGAGGAAAAGTCAGATAAACTCAAAGTTGCAATACTTTTAAGTGTAATTGGTGATGAAGCATATGAGTTTTTAGAATCTATCAATATTACTAGTGATAATAATCCTGGCTGTGTTAAAAAAATATTTCATGAAATACAACAGTATTATGAACCTAAGGGTAATGTAATAATTGAACAATTTAAATTTTTCCGTCGTTATCAGGAAGAAGGGGAAGCGTTTGACAAATTTTTAAGAGACATACGCAATCTAGCCAAACGCTGTGAGTTTGGTAACCTGGAAGAGAATATGGTACGAATCAGGCTAGTACTGGGTGTCAAAGACTTGGGTCTACAAGAAAGACTCCTAAGAGCACCAGATCTTAGTCTTGAGAAAACTATAGATCATTGTAAATCCGCAGAATTGGCTCGATATCAACAGCACTTATTAACTGATAATGGAGGATTAGTTGAAGAGAAAAATGTTCAAAAAATTTATGGCGATAAATCAAATAATCTTAAAAATTGGAGGAAGCAGTCAAACTCAGCACAAGTAGAGAAGCTGTCAACATCAGATACTGACCAGTATAACTGTAAGAAATGTGGGTATAAACATGGACCAAGAAGCTGTCCGGCATATGGAAAGAATTGTGTCAATTGTGGAAGACCTAATCATTTTAAAGTGGGATGTAGAGTTAATAATCAACATAAGGTATTGAATATTGGTGAATATTATGAAAAAAATAATGTTAATAGTGAGCCTGAGCATAACTTATTTGATATTTGTTCGGTAATAGTGTCAAATGTAAGTGAACAGTGTCCTAACCCTAATAATGTGAATGGATGGTTTAAAAATATATTAATTAATAATTATGATGTACAATTTAAGTTAGACACTGGTTCGGACATTGATATATTACCTTTAAGTCTGTTTAATAATATCAAAAAGAATGAAATCGTTGAAAAAATTAATTATAAGATTCAAGCATATGGGGGATATGTTATTAAATTTGTTGGGGCTGTAAAAATGAATTGTTTGATTTCCAATCAAAATGTTAAGCTCAGGTTTGTTATTGTTGATGATAAAATTCAAAATAAATGTATACCTATTTTAGGACTTGACACATGTGTTAAGTTTGGTTTGGTTGGTAAAATAGAAGTTAATAGTATTAATAGTAATGATGTGGAGAAACAGTTGGTTAGAGAGTATAAAGATGTGTTTGAAGGTTTAGGAAATTTTCCAGAGGAGTATGATATTAAAATTAGAGAGAATAGTGAAGGTTGGATTAATCCACCAAGGAGGGTACCAGAATCAATAAAGGGTGAACTTAAAAAAACACTAGATATCATGACTAAGGATGGTGTAATAGTACCTGTAGATAGACCAGGTAAATGGTCTAGTAATATTGTTATTGTTGAAAAGCCCAATAAAAAATTGCGGATCTGTTTAGATCCATCAGAATTAAATAAAGTCATAATTCGAGAACATCATTTAATACCAACAATGGATGAGATTAGAATGAGCTTAAGTAATAAAAAGTGGTACTCATTGTTAGATCTTAAAAATGGGTTTTGGCAAATTAAGCTGTCTAAAGAGTCCAGCAATATATGTTGCTTTAGTACGCCTTTTGGATATTATAAATTTACTAGGCTTCCATTTGGGCTGTCATGTGCACCTGAAGAGTTCCAAAAACAGAATCAAAAGTGTTTTGGGGATATTGAAAATATAAAAATTTATTTTGATGACATATTAATTGCTGCTGAGGATGAAAGAACACATGATATAGCGGTAAAGTCTGTATTGCAAAGGGCAAAGTCTGTTGGAATAAAATTTAATGCAGACAAGTTTATCTATAAAAAGAAAGAAATCAATTATTTAGGTATGATTTTTAGTATGGAGGGAATGAAAGTTGATCCGGACCGAGTTGAGGCGATTAACAGTTTAAAAGAACCTAAAAATAAAGTAGAACTACAACGAATCATAGGAATGTTCAATTTCCTTAGGCAATTTATACCAAACATGTCACAATTGATTGATCCCATAAGAGAGTTGTTAAAGAAAAATGTGCACTGGACATGGACTAACATTCATAGTGAAGTTATAAGACAAGTGAAACACATAATTACTAACTCACCTGTCCTTGTTAATTTTGATCCAAAAAAGGAAATAAGTATTCAATGTGATAGCTCTAGTAGTGGACTAGGTTGCTGCTTAATGCAAGAAGGAAAGCCAGTAGCATTTTCCTCTAGGAGTTTAACAGATTCAGAAAAACAGTACCCACAAATTGACAAAGAAATGTTAAGTATTTTGTTTGCGTGTCGCAAATTTCATAATTATATTTATGGATATCATACAAAAATTTGGACGGATCATTCACCATTAACATCAATTTATAAAAAAAATTTTCATAAAGTTATATCAAATAGATTACAAAAAATGAAACTCAAGCTATTGATCTATGATTTAGAAATTAATTATTTACCAGGCAAAGAAATGCATATTGCAGATCTGTTGTCGAGAAATTATATTAATAATGAATTTGACAAGGAAATTAATATTGAAGGAGTAGTACATTCAATTAATAATACTATAAATGTTTCGAAAATAGCTGAGGCCACAAAGCATGACCTAGTTCTAGTGAAAATTTTAGAATACTATAATGAAGGTTGGCCAAAGGATAAAAATAAGATTAGTGGCGATATTCAACATTATTGGAGTCTTCGTAATGATATTGTTGTTGAAAAAGGAGTTCTTTATGTTAAAAATAAAATTATTATGCCTTACAGCCTGAGACGGTTAGCATTACAGCAGTTACATGAAGGACATAATGGTGTGAATAAAACTGTACTTAGAGCTAAGCAGTTAGTGTACTGGCCTGGGTTGGATAATGAAATAAAACAATATGTGTTGAGTTGCAAAATTTGTGATAGGTTTAAAAATTCTAATACAAAAGAGCCATTACAGCATCACCAAGTGGCTAAACTACCTTTTGAAATTATAAGTTCTGACATATTGACTTATGGTGGTAAAGACTATGTTGTTGTATTTGATCATTATTCAAAATGGCTAGAAATAATCAAAATAAATTTTAAAACAGCTCAAGAAGTTATACAACAGTTAAAAAAGATCTTCAGTACACATGGGTATCCACAAACAATATATTCTGATAATCAACCTTATAGCTCTGATGTATTTAAGCAATTTTGTGTAATGTATAATATAAATTTACTAACGTCTAGTCCTAGATACCCTCAATCTAATGGGACGGCAGAAAGAGCAGTACAAACTGCCAAACAAATGCTTAGGAAAGCTGATTTTGAAAAAAAAGAAATACTAGACATTTTGCTTGAGTATAGGTGTACAACTTTACCACAGATCGGAGCTTCACCTTGTGAATTAGTCATGAGTAGACTATTAAGAACTAAGTTTCCAGTAAATGAGAATACTTTAAAACCTAAAATTCAAGTTAATGATGAAAACAGAATGTTAAACTATCAAGCCAACTATAAAGAATATTATGATAAAAGAACTAAATCCAAAGATGAGTTTAATGCAAATGATGATGTGGTTGTAAATGATGGAAGAGTATGGTTACCTTGTAAAGTTTTAAGTAAATTAGATAATTATCCAAGGTCATATGTAGTCAAGCTACAAAATGGGCAAATAGTCAGGCGTACATCATATCATTTACGTCACACGAAGGGACAACACTATGTTGAAAATTATGAAGACAATGATGATATAATATTAGGAGTAAGTAGTAATGAAGAAGTGGTGAATGAGAAAAAAATTAAAGATAGTCAAAGTAATGAAGAAGTGGTGAATGAGAAAAAAATTAAAGATAGTCAAAGTAATGAAGAAGTGGTGAGTAAGGGATCGAATGGTGAAATAACAAAAACAAAAGTTGGAAGAGTAGTTAAAATACCAACCAAGCTAGATATTTATGATCTCAGTAATTAACTAAGTTTTGTTTTTATATAGTTTGTCTAACTTTTAATGTTGTATTATTAATTGTTATTTATTTATGTAATTATTTTTATTACTATCATTTATATTATTACTTATTAATGTAATTATTGTGCAAAACAACTGCTAATGTATCTGTTGTATCTTAAAGGGAAGGATGTTGTATGATAGCTGTGTTATCAATATTGTTCATACAACGTACATATAGTCAGTGTTAAGCACAAGTGAATGTAAGCCATAAGCACGTGTTAAGTTACAATAAATAAGTTACAAATAATAAATAATACGTTTAGTGTATAACATAAAACAATCCCTGTAAAATCTACACATCAACTGTACTGTATACTTGCACACCTTTATTTGTCGATTTTCCATACAAAATATTAAAAATACAATTTGTAGTTTGCTTACTTTTTCTTCAAATTGAACAGCAAGGTCATTAGAGGAAATAAGCTTCACCAAATCATCAGAAGATAAGGATAGAAAATCTTCGCCTTTAGCTACTTCTCTAGAAATAATAATCATTATTCTTATAATAAATTACCTACTTACTCTTGATATAGAGAATTAAAAAATGTCAATCATACAAAAAATTTTGTTTAATATATGCTTCAGAAATTGACAACAAATCAGTACAGTTATGTAAGTCAGCAAACGCTCTGATACCAAGACAATTTGATGGATTCAGTTGTTTTTGTAAAAACTCAGCACATACACCAATTACATAATCTAACTGCAATACATTTGCAGCTAGTAATAACACCTTAGAAATCAAAACAAAATTCACATAAAATGATATTATGTTGTTTCAAGTCAATATCAAATAAAATATTTTATTATACCTGTACATTTTCTTTTGTGACCATAATTTCTCCAGTATAGATATAATCTACTAATAGTAGTAAAATGGTGGAATCTAATTCTCTTATTTTAACAATAATATCTTTATTGCTCTCATCAAAATTATTAAACATTGCACGGAAATATGGACTAGCTGCTATTAAAACATTTTTATGTCCAATTACAATTTTACCATCATCTGTTTCAAAACTAACGTCACATAAAACTTCTTTACTAAAAACAAAAATGTGTTACTCATATCTATTTTGAATGATAGTAAAATCATTGTTAACATACTTGCGTTGGGATTGTAAGTCTTCTAGTATTCTTACAGAGTGGGAGTCATTCCTAAAATTAGTTGGTTCACAGTCATTTGATATCAGAACTTGCTTTAGATTATTTTTGTTATTTTCACAAGATGAAGCCTGAATGGTATCCATTTCTTCTACTGACGTGCCTAACAACTTTAAATATATTTTAAAAATTGTGATTAATTTTAATTACCATCATTGTGTTAAAACTTTAATATTAAATTTAGGTGCTTTAGAGTTTAGACAGGGTAAAAAACAACATAATGCTGATTTTAAGAAATTATTAAATTAATGGTTAGATTTATTAAAATATTAATGAATTAAAATAAGTATATTGAATAGGTACGAGACCTTTTATCTTACTTACTGCAGTTGAATTCATATCAATGAGTGAGTTCTAGACAAAGGTATGGTATTGAAATATGGGCTAATATACAAAATACCTAATCGATGTTGGTAGGGACAGCTGGGATAAGATAAAGTCAGAAGTTGTGAGGTAAGAATGTAAGATGGGAATTGTATGTAAGTCGTAATAAGTTGATTATATCTAAATTTATCCAACGCACATGTACTGTATGTTGAGCATATTGTATTTTGTTGTTTTTATTTAATAATAATATATTATAATAACATGAAAGTTGGTTATACTCATTATGCATGAAGACTAAACAGTAGGCACTAGAATACAATATCCTAGCATTGACTAAAGAATAATGTTATGAATTTCGCCTTCACGTTGTCAACTTTTCATAATTCCTGCTCTACCTGAATTCCTAGAAAGTCAAAGTTGCCCCAGACTACATACCAGTTTAAGTTCTACTCTCTGGGTAAACAGGTATAGCAGGAATTCTAAAAAGCTGTTTAGAAATTCACAGGAATCGAGCACTATACTTATCAATGCAATAAAAAAATTACAAAATTCAGATTGGGGAGGAAGTACCTAATGGTTATACAATTTGATACAGTCTACAATTTGCTTCACAACCGTATCAAACTTCATAAATCCGTACAGGTGCTCAAACACAAACAATTTATTGTTTTTTGAGACATGTAAAGGTAAGTTTTTAAAGAGACATACATCACACATTTGTATAGAGTACATTTTTACACGTCGACAGCTGCATTAGTATGACCCAAGCAGTCATTTTTTGTAGATTACATATGCCGGTATATAGCATACGACACGCGTACCTACCCGCAAACTTAATATAATTTGCAAATGTCTATGATTCAGACAAATTTCGTCAAAATTCTTACCTATAGACTATAGTCGCGTTTCGGTCGGTAGGTACGTGCCACGTGGTATGTAGCTGTGTCGGCGTAGGGCGTAGGAGCAGCGGTCGATCGAGGATTTGGCGGACGGCGGTGCGAAACGCGAGTATACGGCAACCGACAACTGACAAGTGACAAAGTTGAACTGCGAATTGACTATTGAGTAACTGACAAGTGAGTAGTGACAACAGTCAACAGTGACCACGCGACTTCGAATGACGACAACGAAACAAAAACGCAAGAAGCGGTGCCAGTTTGTGCGTGTGATACTGTGATCCTACTGCTTTGTCGAGGTTAACGGCGTGCGGTGTACAGTAATAGTTATTATTGAAAATTTTAATGATAAAATAAAAAACAATATAATATTATCAATTGGAATAAAATGAAAAATGTGATTTACCGAAAACGCGTATTATACTCAATATACTGTAATTTATAAACATAAGTGGGGATTTCCGGAGTTCTTTGAAAATTATTATTTTCCGATGACCATCGTTGGGTAATTGCGAGTTGTGCGTGCGTGCGCGCTAGTTGCGTGTTGCGACTTGCGACCATGGACCAATCCGACCAATAGATAAAGAAGTAATGCAGATAAAGAAGTGCATGGACCATAGACCTTTTACTCTCAAAAGGTCTATGCCCTATGGCATGGAGTATGGACCTATAAACTATATAGTTTATACTGTTTATTATGTATTTATGTCTATGCATGATATAAAAACAAGGTATGATCGTAACTATTGTCTATTTGACGGTCACATCTTTCGGTAAGCACATGACGTATAAGATGAAAAATATTAAAAATCCTTAGTCACAATTTTTTTTATAAGCATTTAAAGTTCAAAAATTGACCAAATATGGAAAAATCACGAAAATTAGAAAATTATTTTAAGTTAAGAATTCGTAAAAATTTTTCTTTTTAAATCTAAGATTTGAAAATGTAATACAAGATTCCTTATACGATTATCTACCTTAATCAAAAAAAAAAAATGTCTATAAGAAAGTCAAATTAAATTTTTATGAGCGTTTGAAATTCAAATTTTTACAACATTGGATATTTACTCGATTTCTCAAGTAGCGATTTCCTTATTTTGTTTTAATTCAAAAACGAATAACTGTAAATACATGAAATTTTCACTGAATGTGTTCATATTAGCATTTCCTATACACTGTACAATTTTGAAAATATTTTGACTTTTTTGAGCTGTTTACGGACATTTTCAGTTTTCAATTTTTTCAGTTTTTTTTTTCAATAAATATCAATAAAGTTTTATCTGTTGGGCCTAAAAAGTGTAAAAATTTAATACAAGGCTCCTGATATATTGTTACAATATTAGTTCAAGAATATTGAAAATACATTGGCACAATTTTATTTTATAAGCATTTAAAGTTGAAATTTTGACAAAATGTATCAAAATCTCGAAAATTATCAATCATTGTAATTAATAAATTATAAAATGTTCAGTTTTCATAGCTAAGGATTGCAAATTTAAAACAAAGGTTTTCATAAAAAGTTCATACTGTAACCAAAAAATCTAAAAAATATAATGTATTGTTGGTATTTAAACGAAGAATTACAATTTTAGTTATTTTGTTATAATTTAAAAATATTATTCCTGGGTACCTACTTAAAATTCTTAAAATATATTATTATATTTTATACTATATTACCACACACAGGCCATGGTACCGAGGTATCTACGGTTAAGACTATAATACGACTGCAACAATAGGACGATCGTATAAGGCCTATATCGTCAGTCCCCGGTCCGACAAATTCGTAATTTTTCACGACGTCATTATTTATCGTGCACAATATATAATGTTATATTATTAAATGTCCTCTCGTACCGAAGTGCAGCACCGCGAGTACATAAGTCGCTGCAGCATTGTTTGCCTTGCATATTATACGTAGTGCACGCTCATACTATATATACATCTATATATTATTATATACACATATAGGTATATATATATATATAATTATAATAATACGATGTTGTACGATCGTGTATACCTACATTATATACATATTATACACAGCCCTATGCGACTGTAATAATATAATAACCTTATTGTTCGTGCGCGAGCGGGTGAAAGCGCAACGGACGATAAATTTGCAATAGCTGCACACTGCAAATACAATATAGGCGCAAAACTTTCTACGCCTACGACTTGCGATTTATAGGTAAAATATACGTCGCGACGATGTAAAATATATTATATTATACTCACTACCGCCACCGAAACCAGATTTATAGACTTATTCCGTTTGGGTGCCCAGCGAGTATAAATCGCACGGTTTTCGCACTCGATGTTGCCGTGATTTAAAACGTATACGACGTATATTATACAGGTACCTACGCGTTTTCCAGACTTTTGAACTATCTATTTGACGACGACAGCTGCGAGTACGTACTTACTTACCTATACCACGGTTTATAACAGTGCAGTATAATATGCCTACCTAACTGCAACCGTATTATAATATAATATATACTGCTGATTGTTATACCTAGGCAACTATGGTATTGGATATACGTAATACGTATATTACACTACTCGGCTTAA